AGCCCCAGTAGTGACATTCGCCCAAGCAGGAACGAATGAATGCAGGAAGCACGTAGCTGATTTCTTTTAAAGGTGAGGTAGTTCTAGCCTACCACCTGCTGGGGGCCCTCTCACACCTCCCTCCTGCTTAGCCCTGTCCTGGCTCTGGGGCTTTTGGCTATGGTTGAGTTGGCTCCCTGTAGCCCTGATGGATTTAATTAAAAATTATAGGGCAGCAGTTAAATCTGAATTTCAGTAGGACAATGAATAACTTTTCAGTATAAGCATGCAATATTTCACACACATGAGTAAAAGCATTATTGGCCAGTCATATAATCTAGCAACTGTAGAGAGAAGAGAGGGGTTGGGCTTCCAAATCTGAATGTGCCACCTGTTTCCTGTGGGGACCCAACTCGACACATAAGAATGAATAACAGAAGGTTCTCAATGTGATTGCATAGGAGCTAGTAAAAATGAAAAATAACACCATGAAATCTCTTTGTACAATTAATATATACTATTGAGAGAATTAATATATACTATTGAGAGAGTGAGAGTATGTGTTTGTGCCAGAGAGAGAGAGAGAGAGAGAGAGAGAGAAAGCAAGCAAGCAAGCCAGATGCCATTGGCTCATGCCTACAATTCTAACTACTCAGGAGGCTAAGATATGAGTCTCACAATTTGAAGCCAGGCAAGAAAGTCCATGACATTCTTTTTTGGCCAGTCCTGGGGCTGGAACTCTGGGCCTGGGCATTGTCCTGGAGCTTCTGTGTTCAAAGCTAGCACTTTACAATGTGAGCCACAGTTCCACTTTTGGATTTTTATGGCTAATTGAAGGTAAGAGTCTCACTGACTTTCCTGCCTGGCTTCAAACCATGATCCTCAGATCGCAGCCTCCTCAGTAGCTAGAATTACGGGTGTGAATCACTGGTGCCTGGCTCTTATTACAATTACCCACCAAAACTCCAGATGTGGAGCTGTGGCTCAAGTGGTAGAATGCTGGCCTTCAGTGAAAAGTACCCTGGCCCTAAGTTCAATCCCTAGGACAGGTGTGGGGAGGAGAGGAGAGGAGAAGGGAGGGAAACAAGATTAAACTGGTGTTTGCAGCTCAAAGGTGTGGAATGAACAAAGGCTCACTGTCCTAGCAGAGTCGCTCCTGTCAGAGTGGAGATGGGGGAGGAGAGCTGGGGGCTTGGCTTAGCGGTAGAACACCTGCCTGGCAACCTCCGTTCCAACTCTAGTAGCATCAAAAAGAAAAAAAATGACTTGGGCATTGGTGGCTCTTGCCTATAATCCTAGCTACTCAGGAGGCTGAGATCTGAGGATCACAGTTCAAAGCCAGCCTGGGCAGGAAAGTCTGTGAGATGCTTTTTTCCAACAAAGAATCCAAAAGTGGAGCTGTGGCTCAAGTGGTAGAGAGCTAGTCCTGAGGGGAAAAAAAAAAAGTTCAGGGACAGTGCCTAGGCCTGGAGTTCAAGTCTCAAGACAGGCACAAAAGAATAAAATCAATAAATGAGGTAAGTTCCTGACAGAGAAATAACAAAAGGAGGGGGCTTCTTGGAGCCAAATGAAGATCCTAACCCACAAGGACCCCCAATCCCATCTCCTATGCTACCTCCTCTCTCAGTCCATAGGGAAACGCACCCCCCCCCAGCCTCTGGGCTAAGGACACCCCCATAGGGGTGCACAGCATTCGGCATCTCCCAGAGCACAGGGAGCCTCTGAGACAGAACTTCCAAAGGAACAAAACCATTTCCTTGGCACACACTGTCCCTGCTCTCCACCCTGCCTGCACTGCATGTCCCGCCTTGAGGCCCCAACCTGTGGGCCAGGCCTTGAAGGGGCAGAGGTTGCTGAGATCTCTCTTACGGACCCTTCACTGAACTTTCCAAAGGGTTCCTCACACATGGGTTTGGTGGGACTCACTGGCCACTTACTCACTTGAGATGCACCCATTGACGAGTTTCAGATCACCCCAGTTATCACAGCGCCGCAAGTTCACCCTGAGGCCCTCGTAGGAGGGCCTCGCAGGCACTGAGCAGCCTGTCTTCCCAGGCCATTCCGCAGGGACAAGGTGTCTTCTCTCTCGTCCTGTACTAGCCTTGTGCCAATCACTTATCTATGTAATTTGTGTGCATCCACTCAGATGGGTCTAGAAAGGCCAGAATGGGAAGATCCTATCTGATATTTGTGGTTATTGGAATGAAGCCTAGCACTGGAGAGATAGTAAACTAAGTGAGTGAGTAGTATTAGCTTTCTTTAGAAGTCTCCATTCTAAGCCAGGCACTAGGGGTTTGTGCTCATAATCTTAGCTACTCAAGAAGCTGAGATCCAGACTGTGGCAGTTTTTTTTTTTTTTAACTGTATTTTTTTTTGTCTTTTCTTTTTTGGTACTGGGGATCGAACCCAGGGCGTTGCACTTGCTAGGCAAGCGCTTTGCCACTGAGCTACATCCCAGCCCAACCATGGCAGTTTGAAGGTGTGGTTTCAGTGGTACAGTGACAGCTTAGCAAGTAAGTTAAACTATCTGGAGGCTCCAAGTTCAAAATCCAATACCACCAAAAAATCCAGTCCCCTTTACAGCCTAGTGATGCTGTCCCACGCCTACGATACCAGCATTCACGAGGCTGAAGCAGGATTATGAGTTCAAGGCCAAGTTGAACTGCATGAAGACTTTATCTCAAAAAGAAAAACAATGTCTCTTTTCTAGATCCAATGCCTATAAAGGCAGGGAGAGAGAGTGCATGGAAGGGAGGGGACGGGTCTCCAGGAGCCCCTAGTGGGCAGTCCAAAGGCAGAATTCTCAGCACCTCATATTACTCAGTATAACCCATAGGGGTGGGCTGGGAAGGTGGTTCAGTGGTAGAGCATTTGCCTTGTATGCAGGAGGCCCTGGCTTCGATTCCTTAGTACTACATAAGCAGAAAAAGCCAGAAGTGGTGCTATGGCTCATGTGGTAGAGTGCTACCCTTGAGCTGAAGAACTAAGGCCCCATGACCGACCAACCCCCCCCCCCAAAAAAAACTAAAGGGGTGTTGCACCCTGACCCACAGATCGGAAACTCTGATTCACACCTGTAATCCTAGCTACTCAGGAGGCTGAGATCTGAGGATCCTGGTTCAAAGCCAGCTGGCAAAGAAAGTCCTGGAGACTCTTATCGCCAATAAACTACTCAGAAATAAGCTAGAAGCGGTGCTGTGGCTCAAGCAATAGAACACTCATCTTGGGCACAAAGAGGTTCAGGACAGCACCCAGGCCCTGAGTTCAAGCCTGGGGACTGGCCAAAAAGTATGATTCATGAGTTCATGAGTTTAATGCTCTCATGGACACATTCAGCCTACTCGATGACAGACACAGGAAGACAGCTGAGCCCCACCTGAGTGGTAGACCCACATACAACTTTACTTTCTTTTGTTTTCTGTTTGTGTGGTCCTGGGGCTTGAACTCAGGGCCTGGACACTATCCCTGAGCTTTTGTGCTCAAGGCAAGTGTTGTACCACTTTAAGCCACTTTGAGTCTGTAATACTCTTACACACTTTCCTGCCTGGGTTAGCTTTGAACCAGAGTCCTCAGATCTCAACCTCCTGAGCAGCTGGATTACAGGCATGAGCCACCAGCACATGGCTTAAATTTTTTTTTCCATCTAGACATGCCCAGTCTCATCCCATGAGCGATGTGGGGTGACGTGCCTGTCCTGTGACTTGCCTACAGCGAACACGAAATGAAGTCAGAGTACAGCAGTCACGAGTGTGTCATCTGGCTGCTGCTGGACGTGTACAACCCCAGTCACCACTGGGGACACTCACTGGCCAGCTGTCCCCAGCCTGCCATCCTCAAGATAGTGCAGACAACTACTCTCTCCAGCCTTGAGCATGGTGGTGTTCTTGGGGTCATTCCCCCCCCCGCATTTTATTTATGAAATGTTTCAAACTACAGAACAATGAGGACCTGCAACTGGTTCCCCGCACCCCTCCCCAGGTCTTTATTTCCTCCAGCAAGTTGGATAATACAACTCACCTGCAGTGTTGCAGTCCTCCTCATCAGGGAGGACAGTGTGTGTGGAAGCTTCCTGTGCTGTCATATACTGTCCCACTCAGAACATGTGATGACAAGAGAATGTCACTGTCAGGAGCCCATTGGTAGGCAGCTTCTTCCCACGTTTTATTTTGTCAGTTGTGATGGGGCTTGAACGCTCAGCCCGGTTGCTATCCCTTAGCTCTTCAGCTCAAGGCAAGTGCTCTACCACTTGAGCCACAGTACCACTTCCAGTTTTCTAGTGGTTGATTGGAGATAAGAGTCTCCCAGACTTTCCTGCCCAGGCTGGCTTTGAACCTCGATCCTCAGATCTCAGGTTCCTGAGTAGCTAGGGTTACAGGCGTGAGCCACCAGCTCCCCACCCACATTATTTTAAAATCTAATTTTACTGTGGTTACTAAGGTATTGTTTAATTTTTTTGTTATTATAAAGGTGATATACACAGGGGTTACAGTTTCACAAGCCAGGTAATGAGTCCATTGTTGTTGTTGTTTTTTTAACAATGTCACCCCTTCCTTTGCTTCCTCCCAGTTTTCCCCACCCACAGTTGCATAGGCTACTTTCCATATAGTGTGTATTGAATAGCATAATGTCTTCCCACATTTAAAAAAAATTTTACCTCTTTTTTTTATTGTGAAAATGCTATACAGAGGGGTTACAATTACATGGACAAGGTAATGAGTACATTTCTTTTTTTCTTTTCGGGTCCGGTGGTGTGTCCTGAACTCTGGGCCTGGGCACTGTCCCTCAGCTCTTCAGCTCAAGGCTAGCGCTCCACCACTTGAACCATAGCGTGACTTCTGACTTTTTTCTTTTTGCTTATGTGGTGCTGAGGAATCGAACCCAGGGCCTCAGGCATGCAAAGCAAGCGCTCTACCACTGAGCCACCTTCCCAGCCCCATAAGTACATTTCTTATCAAGCATTGTTGCCTCCTCCTTTGTTTCCCCTTCCCATCCCTTCCCATCTCCCCCCCCCACCCCACATTTTAATGCATCTTTTCTTTGGGATGGAGTCTTGGCGAAGTATTTAAATTGGTCAGAAACAAAAATGCAAAATGAAACTGGAGCACATCACAGACTTTGGACCAGAAGTGGCCTGTGAGGCGCTGGAAAGGACGCCACTGGGCAAGCTCATGGTCATACAGCTTGAGGAGCACAAAACCCAGGCAGGAGAGCATGCCCAAGGCTAAGTAGGTGGCTGAGGTGTCACTGCCATACCGCCTGTGGGTGCGGAGGGCCTGCCCAACAGCAGCCACCACGTGAGCACCCAGTGCCACCTCGAACCCCTGCGGGTGCAGCAGGGCAAGGCCATAACTGGACAGGGACAGGCCCTCGATGCAGAGCAACAACCAAGGTGCCCAGCCTCTATCTATGGAGAGACACCAGGCCACCACCCAGGCAAATATAGGTAAGGTCAGCCACTGGTCAAGCACCGCAGCAGGGTGTGTCTGTGTCCAGATCCGTAGCCACTGAACAGGACCGTAGACCAGGGCCATGCTGGCAAAGACATCCTTCAGGTACTGAGCTCTCTGCAGCTCGGTGGGATGGCCCAGGGTACCAACATCTGTCCACATCCAGCACGCTCCCAGTAGCACGTAGGCCAAGTTAATGAGTGAGTTGAAGGGCATGGCTAGGAAGGCAGGCAGGCGCTCATCCATGGCTTCCGCATAGTGCTCGAAGCCCACTTGCACAAAGACATCCTTGAAAAAGCCCATGTACACTGTGGCTGCACACAGGCCGCTGGCCACGCACACATGGCAGATGGCCTTCCATGACTCAGGCTTCATCTTGACTTGGCTAGAGAGCTGAAAAGCATAGCCGTCTTCACCTTTATTCAGAATTCAGATAAATGGCCTTTGCAAAGCATTCCTGGGCCTCCCAGCTGAGCCAGCAGGAAGAAGTCTCTGAGATTTCTGCTACAGATGCTAAGACTCTGCCCCGGGGTGGCTGCAGCAGGCTGGAAGAAGGCAGGAGGCTTTCTGATTGGCTGGCGTGAGGGGCCGACTGAGCTGCCTTCTTCCTTTGTGCTTATGAAAAGAATGTGGGTTAGAAAAAAAAAAACCTTCTAAAAAGGAGCCTCCATCTTCCCCCTTGTCAGCTTCAGGATCCACTCACAGTTTCCATCAAAGTAAATAAGAGTGAAACAGTATTGTGTCTTCACCTTCTAGCTCACTATCTCTAGAAATCTCTGTTGCATACAGGCTTTGCACCTTTCCTCTCTTGGTTCCTACATGGTGCATATTATACAGTCCTGCTCACTGTGTTTGGTAGAACACAGGAAGCTCCCCCCCACCCAGCCTCCAGTCAGAGGGATTATAAATATGCAGCTTTCTAGCCCAGCCACAAAGCCCTTTTGTGTGCCAGTCCTGGGGCTTGAACTCAAGACCTCAGCACTGTCCCTGAGCTTCAGTTTGCTGGACTAGTGCTCTCCCACTTGAGCCACAGCTCCACTTCTGGTTTTTTGTGAGTAGTTTACTGGAGATGAGTCTGACATAGTATTGTGTGTTCTACAGCTAAAAAGGGGGAGGGGGAGTCTCACGGCCAGCACCAGTGATTCATGCCTATTATCCTAGCTACTCCAAAGGCTGAGACCTGAGGATCGTGGCTAGTAGCAAGCACAGACAGAAAAGTCTCCATGCGACTCTTATGTCCAAGCAACCACTCAAAACCTGGAAGTTGAACTGTGGCTCAAAATGGTAGAGTGCTAGCCTTGAGCAAAAAGAGCCCAGGGACAATGCTCAGACCCATGACTGACCAAAAAACAAAAAACAAAAAGAGTCTCACAAACTTGGCTGTTTTTGAACCATGATCCTCAGATCTCAGCCTCGTGAGCAGCTAGGAATACAGGCATCAGCCACCAGTGCCTGACTAGCCAGGCCTTTTTGCTGGTTATTGTGCAAGGCAAGCGCTCTACCAGTGAGCCACCTTCCCAGCCCCTTGCTGGTTATTTTGAAAATGGGCGTCTCACAAACTTTTCTACCCAAGCCAACTTTGAACCGTGATCCTCTAGACTTCAGCCTACTAAGTAGCTAGGATTATAGGCATGAGCCACCAGCACCAAGGCACAAAGCCCTTTTTAACCAAATCTCCAGATGAACTAGAAAACAGTACACGCAGTACAGAATGTGGCAATGTGGCCTGCACTAGAAAAGGGTGACAACCCCAAATCACCATTTTTCTCTGCTCTATGACAAAACCTTTCTTTCACTGCCTGCAGTCATAGAAGCAGACTATCACAGTCAATGGTTGTGTGACCTGTGGTGTGAGTGAGCAAAGAAGTAGAGATGCATAGGAATTGTTTTCTTCTTGAGACAGGGGGTTGCTCTGTAACCCAGACTGGCCTTGGAATCACAATCCACCTGTCTCTACCTCAGCTCCTGTCAGGGTGTCATGTGTACAACCATACCTGGCCAGAAATGCATTGACACTGGGAGGGGGGGGGAAGATGTTCAATACCATGAAAAATGACTCAGCCAACAAGGCAAACACACAGACATGAAGGACAGCCCTCAACACCCCGAACCCCACCCCTGCTGTCCTCCAACACCAGTCTCTCTTCCACTCCTTACTCTCCCACTTACTAACTAGTCACAAACCATTCTAGGTCTCAATGTGCTCATCTTCAAAATGTGGGAGCTAATAGCACCTTCATGCCACGGTCCTCACATCTCATATCTGAGTAGCTAGGACTACAGGCGTGAGACACTGGCATCTGGCAAAACCCAGTCTCTTGGTCAGATTTGAAGGACTACCCACAGATAGTGTTAAAAGCTCCTAAGGGGAGCCGGAATGAGAGTTTTAGACTCTCCTGTCTGCTGGAAAGCAGGCTGGCAATCTGGGGACAGGACTTAAACATGGTCAGCTTGACTGAGGAGGAAATCCAGGAAGGGTATAGAAAGCAACTCTTCTTTCCTGAGATAGGTAAGTGTCTACCTTAGGCCAGGCTGAAAGTGCTAAGCAATCAAATCAATTATCCAAGTTCCCCAGAAAAATCAGGCTGGTTACTATGTAGCTTAGCTCCTCCAAGACCCCACAATTGCTACAACCCTTGCTCTGTGGCTTATTGTTTCTCACAGCTTCTCCTGGAACCTGGCAGATGATGGTTCAACAGCATTGACTTTGGGGTCCTGGGTCTTTTGGGCAAGTCCTACAAATTGTAAAACAAAATTTGAGACAGATTCTCAATGTGTGGCTCAGTCTGGCTGCGTAATTCAAGACCCTCTTGTCTTAGCCTGCTGAGTGCTGGCACTGCAAGCATGCGCCCTCAGACCTAGTTAATTATGAAAATCTCCTCGGTGAGGGGCTTCCATCAAACAAGCTCCTTAGACTTCCTTACTTTCTGTGACTGCACACATTACGCAGCAGCCACTGTCACCTCCAGTTGAAGGAATAGAGGTCGTTTCTTTGTCCTGTAGCATCTATGACAGCTGTTGGGTCCATATGCACCCCCCCTTGCTGTCTTATTTGGGGACATAATTTAGTATGCGCATAGCAGGTGAGGATGACCTGAGGCAAATGCAAGCCCAAGCAGCCCAGAGCAAGCACAGTGGCTTTTGAATTTGAGGAAGATACATGATCAATGCAGGGAAGATCATGGGAAAATAGCTGCTCAGTTTCCTGATTTTGGGTGGGAGGGTCTTGGGGGCCAGAGAGGTCATGACCTGAGAAAGTCACACAGGGCAGTCGATGACATGGTCATATTATAAGCAAGGTCTCTTTGGCTGTGCTACAGTCCTCTATGACATTTTCATATGAATGCTTCCAAGTGTATAAACTGAAACATAATAAACCCAATAAATGTAATAGGTGGAAAGAAGACGTCAGTATTTCTGAACAAGTATGATATGGTAATGTATGTGCTTCTTTACTAACATAGTGCATTACAAGTTGTTGTAATTGTGAGATCTTACAGTTTAGTTTGTTACACTTGTCTGTAAGTATAGAGTGTGAAATGATCTGTCCATTTTCTTTAGGAACAAAGTCTCGGTTTGGCTAATGGTCTGTGCTCTGCTTCCCATACCTGTAATATCAAGAAATGTTCTTTTGCGACGAGAGATTATTGATAATAAAACTAAAATAAAGATGAAATAAAGTGGGGAAGCCGTCATCTGTCCATGCAATAGTCTGAGGAACACGATACCACTTAGAAATCCTAGGCTACAGCCTGCGTGTGTGGCAGATGACAGGCTGTGGCAGGAGGCGCCGGAGGCGTCCTGGGAGACTTGGGGCATGAGGGTGATGCTGGTACCCACCTTTCAAGGTTGTCGTGAGAATTCAGAATATTGGCGCGAAAAGGCCAGCAACATCCATCCGGGTATTTTTTTGTCTGTCTTGCTTTGCTGGGGAAATTCAAATCGAGAAAAAGGGCGGACCCGAAAGGCGACCCTGCGCCTGCGCAAGGGGCGGGGTGTGGAGCCCTGGGAAGCAGGCGGGGCGAGATGACGTGGGAAGACGCGAATGATGTAAGCAGTTCCCTAGCTCGCCGTTCCAGACCTGTCGGCTCTCCGCCTGCCCCGCGGCTAGCAGGACTTGTGCGGGGCGACAGAGGAGGCTCGGCGCGTCGCGGCTCCGAGCATGGCCCGGGCTTATTTCTCTGAGACGAGTAGGGAGGCAGCGGTGCCGGGGGGCCGTGCTGCCGGGCCTGGGAGCGGGCAGCAGCTCCGCCCCGGTGCGCTCATCCGCGTCACCGCCCACGCTGAGCCCGCCCCCAGCTTCCGTTCCCGAGCCGCCTCTTGCAGCTCCCCAGTTTGTGGGCGGGAAAACGGCTACTTCCCAGTCGGAGACACAAACTACAGTATCTGTGTCCTGCTACCTTTAACAATATGTGCCCCGGTCCCCACTACTGGTTAAAAGGTCACTCCTCGGCATGTATCCGTTCAATCCGAGAGCGTTTTCCCAGGGGGGCGGGGCTGAGTGCGTCGCGGAGTTAGTGTTCTCATCCGGGCATCCCCAAGTGCCGCGGCCATCTTTGTTTTGTGCTGAAAGTCGCTATTGACGCCCACGGCCGGCCGGGCGAGAAGTGGCAAGATGGCGGCTCCCAGAGCGGAGGCGTGGAGGCGCCCTGGGAGGGAGGGAAGTGGGGCGGAGCACACTTGCACACTTGACTCAAGCCCAGCTGCAGCCCTAGTCCACTGCGTACCAGCGCCGGCCTGCAGGTCTGCAAGCAGTGGGGGACTTTAAGAGAACTGAGCCCAGAGGCGTAGCCATGCGCGGGCGGGGGAACGATGACGTAGACCGACTCCACCCCCTCGCCCGACCGCCGTCGCCATGTTTAGTTGTTACTTCTTTACACAAGATGGCGGCTCCCAGGGAGGAGGCATGAGAGCCCTGCCGTTACCGCTTCTCCTGCCGTACAGTTGCCACCTCGAGGCCTAGCTCTGGCTCTTTGGATCGGCTCCTGTGGGAAGGAGTCATAAAGAGGGAAGCGAAGACTGGACACTGCCTTGCATTTGGTTTGCATTGGAAGAACTAACCCAAGAGGAAGAGAATAGGGGGGAAGGGGGAGGTAGTCTCAAGATGGCGGCTCCCAGGGCAACAGGCGCAGCCTGAGCAGGAGACGAACTCAACGGAGAGGTGCAAGACCTCACGACCTGTACGGCCTGTGCTCTCGGGAAGTCCCTGACAGATCGGTCTGGTTGCCTTGGCTTTGGGCGCGCCTCCATTCCTTAGGAGTGTCGAGGTTGTTTGGGGAGTGGCGGCTCTACTAACTGCTGGGCGGGGAAGCGGGACGGTCTCAAGATGGCGACTCCCACAATTGTGGTTTAAGCGCCGGCGGGGTTGGGACGATCACGGCGTTTGTGGCTCCTTTCCACCCGCCCCGGAAGCCAGCCAGTGCTGAGCACTTGGGGGTGTGGGAACCGGGCCGGGGCTCCGCCATTTCCGGCGGGGGAGGGATACGACTGAGGAAGGGAGGAGAGAGAGGCGTCTCAAGATGGCGGCTCCCAGAGCCTCTCGTCCGAGCTTGTAAGCCGGAGGATCCAGGCAAATAGTCAGGGCGGCGGGACTCAGTGGCCTCCAGCTTTTTGGGCCTAGGTGCTCGACAGTTCCGGGAATCTTGCGAGAAGACCGGGCGAGCGAGAAGAAGGGGAAGAGCCAAAGGGTAGGGGGGTAGTTAAGATGGCGGCCTCCATGGAGTCGTCTACCGCGGTGTGAACAGCCGCTTCTCCGTGAGAGCTGCCTTAGACCAAAGGGGGTGTGTGTTCGGAATTGAGGGTCTCCCTTCCTGCTCGGCAACTTCGTTCCACCTCACCCTTTCCTGTAACCATGGCTTCGGCCGTGTCGCCCGCCAACTCGCCAGCGGTGCTCTTACAGCCCCGCTGGAAGCGAGTGGTGGGCTGGTCGGGTCCCGTGCCCCGACCCCGCCACGGCCATCGAGCCGTGGCCATCAAGGAGCTCATCGTGGTATTTGGCGGCGGCAATGAAGGGATAGTGGACGAACTGCACGTGTATAACACGGGTGAGTGCAAAGCCCGCTGGGTCGCCTAGATCCTTCCCTCCATCTCCCTCTCCCTCTTTTCCTCTCTGCTCATCCCCTCCCCTTCCCCCCGCCTCTTTTTCCTCCCTTCCTTCCCCCCTTCCCCCTCCCTTTCCGCACTCCTCTGCTCCCCGTGTTGCTCTGCCGATTTCTCTGCTCTTCCTCGGTCTTCTCCCCCATCCTGACACCCCCGGACTTTGCGGGGTTTCGGTGTTACATTTTGTTACTTGGATGCAACGCCGTAGTCCGGAGGGGAGGGAACAGGAGTAGGGTATTGCACCGTTGGTGACTTCCGACGTACTCCCGTTACCCGGCTGGAGGAGGAGGGCGGAGGTGGCCCCCCCTCTTCTCTTCCTCATCCTGGGTGCCCATGCCCATTCAGGAGAAATGACCAATTCCAGATTACAAATACCTTCTCTGCCTCTAGTAAAACCGAGGAAAGCACTCTCAGGGGCGCGAGTTGTAACAGCCTACCGAACCACTTCCCACATTATGCCTCTGCCTTCTTAGAGACCCATAGGATAAGTGGGTGTGCATCCTTCTGCCTTTGGCATTTCTGCATCTTTTTATTTATTTATTTATTGTGTGTGTGTATGTGGGTATGTGGGGAGGAGGGACGGAGAGATCCCTTTTTTCCCCCAGTCTGGTCCCTTCCCTTGAGAAGATGAATTCATGTCCCTGCAGTAGGCCAGGTGGTCCAGCACTTCCCTCTTGAGTGTCACCGAAGCGGCTATCCTGCCCCTTCTCCCTTCCCTCCTAAAACCAAGCTTTTGTTAATTGTGAGGGGCCTCTGCAGGTGTAGCTGACACACCATCTGGCCTCTGCCCCTTCCCTCATGGGAGCCACATGTCCCTTGCCTGGTCGCCGTGTTGAGTCTCTAGGGCAGCAAGCCTGCTGCCTCATCACCACAGCTTTATCCCATCCTTCTTCTGTGGTGGCTTCTTGGCCCTCGAGTAGCACAGTGGCCCTATGGACCCTCGCCTTGCTCAAGTCTTGTGGAGCCTGGGCTGTGAGTGTGGAGAACCGCAGCGGGGCAGGAGAGCAGCCAGCGCTGGTGGGCTTCAGGAAGCTCCTGTCTTGTAGCACTGCTTTGTATGCCGTGGCTACTTGCCAGCTCCTTTGCCCCCTCGCCCTCGTTCATCTTCCCTCAGCTCTACTGGTCACTCCCAGGCACCTCCTCTTGCGTTGATGGGTGCAGCAAGCGCCATTTTTCTGACTGGCCTCAGTTGTCGACTTGCTCCAGGGTTGGCAACAGGCAGCAGGAGAGAGAGTTTTGGTGCAAGTGCCGGGCGGGCCTCCAGTGCCTCTGAGGTTATTTCCCCCTACCAAGTTGACTTTGAAAGGTTGGCAGGGTGCTGCTCACTCTTTGCATTCCTGGTCTCCTCAGCACCTGTTGCCTCTAGGGAGCAGGGCTTTTCTCAGGGCCTCCACAGGAAAGCGGGGGGGGGGGGTCACTGGGGCTTGTGCCCAGGCAGCTGCAGGGACAGGAATTAGCCCGGTAAGCTAAAGCCAAGGGCAGGGATGGAACCTCTCTGGTGGTAGGGCTGTTTTTAGAGATGCCCTAGCCAGGAGCTCTGCTCCTTGGACCAACTTTCTCTTAAGGCCTGGAGCAGGCTCCCTGGCAGGGAAATGCAATTTTAGAAAGTAGGGCAGGGGCCTAATTACAGTCAGCTCCAAAGTCCACTGCAGGCCCTGCCTTGGCTCCCTGGGGCCTCTGCATATTCATTAGTTTATTAAAATGAATTGACCACTTTGGCATTCATTCTGTTAACCAGTCTGCAAAGATAAGATGGGTGTTAGCTAGCTATCCTTTACAGTCAGGGTAGCATTTTGGAAATCATCACAAGGTATTTCTTAGGTGACTTGAAAGAGCAACTAGGAGACTTGTTCTTCCCCAAGCTGTGTCCGTTATTTTGGCAGATCCAGGATGTGCCCAGCTCAAGCTCTTGGGTTCTAATGGGTCTTGATGCTATCCTGGCTGCCCGGCCTTTCCAACTGCAGCCTCTCCCACTTACTTACCTTGGTTTTGTAGAAGGTATTCTTCCCCGAACTCTTCCCCTAGCACCTTCTGTGGAATCAGCCCTTGAAAAGGGTTTTCTCGGAAGACCAGGCGTGTCTGGATGCCTTGCTCAGTACTGAAGGCTCTTGGGGTGTGCATGCCTTGCTGACTGGGTCAGCAGGCAGTCTGGAGGTGATGATATATGGGGTGCAGTATGAGACAGAAAGCAAGCACAGGTTCTTCCTCTTTAGTGGCAGCTACCACAACGCCAGAGGGGGCCATTGACTGGCCTTTGGTAGGTGGTAGGGTAGCTGCTATTCTTGTCCTCAGGGAATTTCATTTCCATGAGACAAAGTAGATTACCCAGAGGCCCTGAGCCAAAGTATTGAGAGCGCCTGTTGGAGTGGAGCGCACCCTGCTGAAGCCGCCGTGCGTGTGACTGCTTGCCCTTGCTGCCTTTTTTGGCCTCAGTGGTTTGTCAGTGTCATGGACTCTCGAAGGAAATTTGGGAGATACTGAATGGGACTTCCTTGTTTCTGTCGCTGAGGAAATTGGGGTCCAAAGAGGGGAAGTGAGGCCCAGGGTCACCTCCACCAGCTGGTGGAGGAATTGGGCGGGAACCCAACGTTCACCAGGACTGTCTGTCCTGCTTGTGTCTCAGTTAACTGGCTGCCAGCTGCCGCCTTTAAAGCACCTCCCTTTCCCTCTGTTGCTATGCCTAGCTAACTGATCACTAAGTGAAACTGGTATCACATCTGCTCTCCCTCCGCCTCAGCAGTCCCTCCTCACTTCTTACCACATTCTCCAAGGGACTTCTGGATTTAGCCCAGTAGTTTGCCTTGTCCTGAAATCTCTTTCACCCTTCAGGGCCTGGCTGCAGTGTTACCTTTTCTCAGAAGCCAGTCATGCCTCTGTTATATTTGTTTTGTTCCCAGGGGTCCACTCCATTCTCAGCTCTTACAGGTGTGCTTCCCTTCTGTGGAGGAGGGTTCACAGCCTTCCTACCAGATGGGAGATAGGACGTAGCTCTTCTGCCTCATCGCTTGGGGCCTGCTGTACCAGAAATGCTTTGATGTGACAGATCGAACAAAAAAGGAAGCAGACTCCTCAAACTTGACCATCTGCTCTGCTTCTTGGGTGTCAGTCTCTAGGTCGTGAAGGAACAGCAGCAACCACCAATGGAATTGGCATCCTATGAAGAGGGATGGGAGACCTGGTGAAGCAGAAGTGGGCTTTGTCCTAGTTGAAAGGGAAGGTGGACATAGTACCTTTCTCAGAGTTCCACAACTGGGTGGCCTATTTTCCCCCTAAATTCTCCTCTGTTGTCAGTCAGCCTGGAGGGTAGTAAGCAACATGCCAGGGCATGTCCAGAATAAGGAACCCCGGGATTGAGTTGCAGGATACCCCCCACACACACACATACACGTGATAAGAGGGGAGACAGTGTAGCTGTTGGGCTTAAAAGACAAGAGGAGGAGAACTCACTGTGCTCTTCCAGGGGGTGAAATGAGGAGTGACAGAGTTACCTCCCTACTAGGATCTGCACTCCCCGACAAACTCTTTTGATGGGAAGAGTCCCTGCCTTGCCTGAAATACTCTAGAACTACTTCAGCACCTGTTGGTGCACCAGAAAGAGCTGGCTGGTCATCTGGAGGCTAGGGAGTATTGCAGGTCACTTTTGGTTGAGCCAGCTAGGGTGATCAGTTTGGTGGGAAAGCTGTGGCTCGGGCTCATTTGCCTCTTAACCATTTGTCCTCATCCTTGACTGATGGCTCTTAGCTAGGTGCTGTGCACATGCGGGTGAGGGAGGGTAGCTGCTGGCTGCCCCTTAGGTGGACAATGGGCAGATCATTCTAAATGAGCAGCTGGGTTCATCTCTGATTGCTCCAGTGACCTCAGGTGAGTCATAGCCTTCTTAGGCCCTCTTCTTTATCAACTGACAGCTATGCTGAGGCAGTCAGAGGCTGCCTTCTATTGGCTTTTCTCCTGGTAACTTGGAGGAAACTCCTGGGGATTGGGTGAGGCCCTCTATCCCAATATAGGCAAGGTTGATTTGCCTTGGCATTGCAAACTCCTGGTTTTCTTGTTTCATGTTTGCACTATGAGAACGAGGCAGGGAGCTGGCATCTGGTGTGAGTGCATGCATGCACTCACACACGCGTTCTTGTGTATGGGCAGTACCAGCACTACTTCAGGAAGATGGCAGCGGATGGGTGCTAGGCAGCCTCTAAGTCTCTCAGTGACTCAGCTAAACCACTGAGGCACCCAGCAGCTACTCCAAAAGCACCTGTGGAGAGGGTGTGAAGAGACACTCCTCCTGCAAGGCTGCCAGACACTGGAACCTTCAGACTGATGGCTTAGGACTTGAGTTCTTAGGGTGCATTGAGGGTAGATAATGGCTAGCCTCCCCTTTGGAGATGCATTTGAATAAGGATAGAAATAACAGGGTTTCCTGTTCTCTACTTTCATAGAGCTTTTGGTTTCCAAGTCCCATATGTTTTGGGGGGGGTGTGCGCATGCGCACACACCACTCCTAGGGCCGGAACTCTTTTGGCCAAGGCTAGTGCTCTACCACTTGAGCCACAGTGCTATTTCTAGCTTTTTGGAATGAGTCTCTTGATCTTTTCCTGCCCAGTCTGGCTTTGAACCTTGATTCTTAGATCTCAGCCTCCTGAGTAGCTATAATTACAGGTGTGAACTACTAGCACCCAGCTATATTTTCTTTTTTTCTATCACAGTATCCTAGTATTCCTGTGGGGAAAGTCGGCTGCTGAGCAGTAAGCACCCTAGATTGGTCTTCAGAAGCCTTCCAAGATGTCTCCTCCCACAGGACTATCCTGGTCTCCCAGTCAGCTCCCTAGGCGCCAGTCTTGTCTTGACTCACAAACTTTTCGCCTGCTGTAGCCACTGCCCCTGGGCCTGAGCTTCACCTCCTTTTTGTAGCCCGCTTCCTTAGATCTAACCAAACTGACTTGGGCCTGATGCATTTGTATCTGGTCCCCAGCTTGGGGTTTGGGGAGAGGGACATGTCCTTTAAATAACGTTGCATGAGAGAGGAAGACAGTTGCCCGTGTCACTATCTGGGCAGTCCTGGCACCGTAGATGTGAGAGGCACAGGGAATTGGGTGAAGAAGCAGGGCACCAGGTAGGTAAAGTAGGGAATGGTGCCATCTTTACCAGAGGCTGCAAGTGTAAAAGGCTTTTGAAAAGCTGCTGTCACCATAGTCCTTGCTGTGGTTGCCACCTCTGGCTTGAGAGTGTTCTGGAGTGGTGTAGGCATGGTGGCCATGGGGGAGGGGCACTGGCGCTGCCACAGAGCCTGTAGACCATCACCTAGGAGACGAGAAGTCGGAGTAGGAGACAGTGAGGCCTGGGAGGTTAGAGCAGAGGCTGGATTCTTGTCTCCACCGCTCTCTGCCTGCAAGCTGGGTCTGGCTGTGCCCCCCCCCCTTGCCAGGCTACCAGCTGTTTGCATAGGAGGTGTTGGCCTCCTGCCCTTGCATTTCCCTGACCCCCCCCCCCACAGGTGCAGCTGTTTGCTGTGGCTCCCTTGACTCTGTAGTGCAGGCAGGGGGAGCATGGGGCCCCAGGGGGCACTTTTGGCATAGAAGTTTGTGGTGATCCTGTGAACAATCAGGGAAGGAAGTCAGTAGTCAGAGAGAGCCCCAGAAACTGATGAATTATCTTGGTCAGTGACTTCCTGCTTGCTGAAATGACCTTGACCAAAGCAGGTTGGCGTGGGCAGTTGTGTAGTTGGAAGTCCAAGACTCTGGCAGATGGCTTGACTAGAGTGGCCCAAGGTGAAACCGATGGGGCCCAAGCCACAGTGTACTGTGGCTCAGCCCCTCCTTTCTTTGGCCATGTTTGACGACTAGATGGGGTGGAGGGTACCAGACTGGAGGACTAAGAATGGAGGCTTAGTAATAAGAGACTCCTAGGTGTTTGACTTGTGCTTCATTTTTTTTCCCCCTCAGCAACCAACCAGTGGTTCATCCCAGCTGTGCGAGGGGACATCCCTCCAGGGTGTGCAGCCTATGGCTTCGTGTGTGACGGTACTCGCCTGCTAGTGTTTGGTGGGATGGTGGAATATGGGAAATACAGCAACGACCTCTACGAGCTGCAGGTAACGGAGTGTATAGCTCCCCAGAAGCTGCCTATCCATAGGCCCGGATTCTCACACTGCCTCCTCTGGCCCCACATCACCCCTGTGGTGCTCTTTTTGTCAGGGGTTTGGAGTTTGACACAAATGAATGAGGCTCTCTTCATTTTGCAGGCGAGCCGATGGGAGTGGAAGAGACTCAAAGCAAAGACACCCAAAAATGGACCCCCTCCGTGCCCTCGGCTTGGGCACAGCTTCTCCCTTGTGGGCAACAAATGCTACCTGTTTGGGGGTCTGGCCAATGATAGTGAAGACCCCAAGAACAACATTCCAAGGTGAGGCTTTGTCCTTTTGTGCTGTAGACCCCAGCCTAGGTAGGTGTGCTTGCCCAGGCACAGGACTCACTGAAATTCCAAAGTCAGATGGTCCGGGTGCTAGTGGCTCATGCCTGTAATCATGCTCCTCAGGAGTCTGAAATCTGAGGATCATGGTTCAAAGCCAGTCCGGGCAGGGAAGTCTGTGAGACTCTTATCTCTAATTCACCGAAGAAAGAAAGAAAAACTTAGGAGTGGAGCCCATAGCTCAAGTGGTAGAGCACCAGCCTTGAGTAAAACAGCATGGGCACAGCACCCGGGCCCTTATTTCAAGTCCCAGTACTGGCACAGAAAATAACGTTGGATGTGCCAGCAAACTAACCTCCGCTGCCTCATCTTCTGTGCTGAGTAGTCAGCGAGGGTGACACTAGATGCCCAGTACCAAGCTTTTTGATTCTGAAACCTAAAACCCTAAAGAGGCCTGTGCAAGACCGCAGAACCCTGTTTTGCTTTGGGCTGCTCCCTACTCCTCAGACCCAAGCTCGAGCTGGGTTCCTTCCTTCTCAGCCTCTGCTGCCTGCAAGTTTCCTGATGGGTATTTTCCAAGGCCCGTGGCCAAAAGCCTTTCTGTCTGGAGGTAGTCCCAAGCTGACACCCCCTCACTGTACAGAGGCCTTTATATAATGCCTGGCTTTGTGAGCAGGGCAGCCTGGAGGGGCCTGCACTGGGTGTGAACTCGAGGCTGCCGTCGCGCCTCATACACCCCTCCTGTTACTCCAGTTGGACTTGTCCTTGAGAGCTTGTGGCAGCCCCTTCCCCAGGGGCAAGCGTAGAAGAGGAACTCGGAATGCACATGGCCTTTGCTCTTTATCGTCTCTGGAGGTTCCAGTGTGGTTAAACCTGGTGAAGTTTCTGCATGCAAACGAGGCCTGCTATAACTTCTCTTTCTTCATCAGGTACCTGAATGATTTATATATCCTGGAATTACGACCAGGCTCCGGAGTGGTAGCCTGGGACATCCCCATCACTTACGGGGTCCTTCCCCCACCACGGGAGTCTCATACTGCTGTGGTCTACACTGAGAAAGATAATAAGAAATCCAAGCTGGTGATCTATGGAGGGATGAGTGGCTGCAGGCTGGGGGACCTCTGGACCCTGGACATTGGTAAGATGCTGCTACGCCTCTAGTAGCCTCAGAGCCAAGGCAATCTGCTGGCCATGCATCCCCCTTAGGTCTTTCCACGCCACATGGCTGACAGTAGGATGCTTGGTGCTCCCTAGGTATGGAATCCGTTATTTTGCCTTGTGCTGGTAGCATTTGTTAAAAGAAAGATAAAGGCACTAGTGGCTCATACCTATAATCCTAGCTACTCAAGAGGCTGAAATCTGAGGATCTTGGTTCAAAGCCAATCCAAGCAGGAAACTCCGTGGCACTCTTATCTCCAATGAACCGTCAAAAAGCCAGAAATAGCCAGGCATTGGTGGCTCATGCCTATAATCCTAGCTACTCAGGTGGCTGAGATCTGAGGATCGCAGTGTGAAAGCCAGCCTGGGCAGAAAATTCCCCGTGAGACTCTTATTTCCAATTATGCACTCAAAAACTGGAAGTGTAGCCGGGCGCCAGTGGCTCACGCTTGTAATCCTAGCTACTCAGGAGGCTGAAATCAGAGGATCCCGGTTCAAAGCCAGCCCGGGCAGGAAACTCCATGAAACTCTTTATCTGCAATAAACCACCAGAAAACTAGAAGTGGCACTGTAGCTCAAGTGGTAGAGCACTAGCCTTGAGCTGAAGAGCTGAGGGACAGTGCTCAGGCCCAGAGTTAAGGCCCACGACCGACAAAAAAAAAAAAAAAAACAAAAAACTGGAAGTGGTGCTGTAGCTAAAGTGGTAGAGTGCTAGCCTTGAGCACAAAGAGGCTCAGGGACAGCGTCCAGGCCCTGAGTTGAAGCCCCACAACTGAACTCCCCCCCCCCCAAAAAAAGGAAGAAAACAATGAAGTGAAGTTCATTAGCTGAAAGATGAGCTCCACCCCCCCCCAACTCCATCCCTGGAAATAGTGCCACTATATAGCAGGCACTCAGTTGTTTTGGAAGAAACTCGATTGCCAGGATGGCTGAAACGCCTTTGGAAAATGCTGAATCTGGTTGTTTGGTAGATGTGGGATACAGTGCTTGCATTGAGTCAGAGCCTGCCTTGCCTGTGTCCGAAGAATGGTTGTGTCTGATTGAGCATGGATAACCTTTTTCTCTGTCTCCACAGAGACGCTGACATGGAACAAGCCTAGCCTCAGTGGGGTGGCACCCCTTCCTCGCAGTCTCCACTCTGCAACTACTATAGGAAACAAGTGAGTAGCTGCTTTTCTTGGCCTAGCCTTTCCCCTGTCCCTGAAGTGTGCCCAGTCAGTTTGGTTGTGACAGTCCTTAGGACCCTAGGAGGCCTCTTGCTTGCCTGGCTGGCGGTTTCCCATCACAATCCCTGGGGGAACCCAGAGAAGGTAGGTTCAGTATAGCGGTTCTACAGGGAACCCTGCCTGAGACTCTTTCTGGACCTGTCACACTGCATCAAGAGTATGACCTGTCCGGGTTCTGATGGCTTGTGCCTGTTATTCCTAGCTATGCAGGTGGCAGAGGTAAAGGGGATCCACGCTTAGAGCTAACCTGGGCAGAAAAATCCCCAAGACTATCTCCCATTAACCAACAAAAGTCCAGAAGTGAAGATGTGGCACAAGTTGCAGAGTACCAGCCTTGGACGAGAAAGCTAAGCAGGAGCACGAGGCCCTGAGTTCAAGCCCCAGTACTAGCACCAAAAAAGGGGGGGTGTATGTGACCTGTTTTCCATCCTCCATTAAATACGACTGTCTTTGCGAATGCCAGCATCGTAAAGGGTGGTGGCAGGTAAGATGAGCTGTACACGAGCTGAGTGATGCTCTCTCGCTGTAGAGGTGACACCGTGCTTGTGAGGGCTGAGCCGGTAGTTGAGAGAGGGCCACGTCAGAAGATTTTGTGTACCCCAGAAACTCCTGGGTAGAGGGAGAACTTTGTGGGCAGAGGAGGTGGCTTGGCAGATTCTCTATGATCTTTTGCTTTTCTTCATCCTCTTCCAGAATGTACGTGTTTGGTGGCTGGGTGCCTCTTGTCATGGATGATGTCAAAGTGGCTACACACGAGAAGGAGTGGAAGTGCACCAACACGCTGGCTTGTCTCAACCTGGGTATGGCCTCCTGGGGCTTGGAGAAGCCTTGGGGAGGCTAGCCCTCCTCATCCCTGAGAGCTTTGTGGGGTGTGCAGGAAGCGAAGCCAGTCCCTCGACTCCTAGAATTCACCAGAAATATCCAGTGGGTTGAGTGCTCTGAAGCAGTGCCCCTCCTAATTATTCAGATAGGCCCTTCAGTTATACAGTTTGATGGCCCAAAGTACACGGGCACTCGCGGCGTGCTGCCTCCCTCACCCCTACCCGGGTCTCACGTGGCCACATGAGCAGTTTCTTATGCCCTCTGCCTTCAGGGATCCTACATACATACAATAGCTCTGGGTCCTTAACATGTTTTCCCCAGGACCACTGGCCCTTTTTCATTGACTGTGTATCTTGGAGATCATTTCACATCGCTCAACAGTGAGCAGCTGCAGCCTTTGCATTGCTATCATGGTGGTGGTGAAACTTGTTCACACAGTGCTCTTGTGAGTATCCTTGCACCACTTCTACGTCAAGTGCAAGTGCATTCAAAGGCCCAAAGCCTAGAGGTAGCTAGCCAGTGATACACATCTATGGCCCCAGCTATTCAGGAGGCTGAGACAGGAAGATGACTTGAGTCAGGAGTTTTGAGACCTCCCTGGCAACATAGACTCCATTTCTCAAAACAACAACAAAAAAACCAAAATGAAAAATGAGAGGGAAAAAAAACCCCAGAGGTAAGAGTTGCTGTCAGATATCATCGAACTGTCCTGCACAGATCCCATACATTATAGCACTCAGCTCACCCTAGTGGTGCCTGGGTTCCCATAACCCCCCACGCCACCACGTGAGACCCACGTTTCTAGGAGGTGTAAGATCTGTGTTTTGTTTTGTTTTGTTTTTAACTGAGGGAGCATGACTTTGATTATCTTTTTTTTTCTTTTTTGGTAGTACTGGGATTTGAACTTAGGGCCTCACACTTGATAGGCAGGTGCCCTACCAGTTGTGTGGCTTTTATTTATTTTATGATACTTTTTGCTTTGGGATTTTTGGTTGCTTTCATTGAGTACTCTTACCACTTCCTGGTTTCAGAAGCCTAACCCTGACAAAGAAAATCCGGAAAGCAACTGGAAATTGAGGGATAGGTGTTTTCTATTCTCCCTGCTGACCTTCAATGCTGTCCATCCCTAGATACCATGGCCTGGGAAACCATTCTGATGGACACACTGGAGGACAACATTCCCCGGGCCCGTGCTGGCCACTGTGCAGTCGCCATCAACACCCGCCTGTACATTTGGAGTGGGCGCGACGGCTACCGCAAGGCATGGAATAACCAAGTATGCTGCAAGGACCTCTGGTACCTGGAGACAGGTATGCTGCCCCGCGCCGCCCCACAGCTAACAGACCCTTCCCTGCCCCGTGCCCTCATTACCAGTGATGCTCTCTTACAGAAAAGCCACCGCCCCCAGCCCGAGTACAACTGGTACGAGCTAATACCAACTCTCTGGAGGTGAGCTGGGGGGCAGTGGCAACAGCCGACAGTTACCTTCTTCAGCTCCAGAAATATGACATTCCTGCCACGGCTGCTACCGCCACCTCCCCCACACCCAATCCAGTCCCATCCGTGCCTGCCAACCCTCCCAAGAGCCCTGCCCCAGCAGCAGCTGCCCCTGCTGTACAGCCACTGACCCAAGTAGGCATCACGCTCCTGCCCCAAGCTGCTGCTGCCGCTGCCGCTGCCGCCGCCGCACCCCCGACCACTACCACTATCCAGGTTTTGCCCACCGTGCCAGGCAGCTCCATTGCTGTGCCCACCGCAGCCAGGACTCAAGGTAAGCCAGGGGCCAGACCGGACCAAGGGTGGGGGTGGTGAGGGATCAGAAGGAAGGGGCTGCTCAGTGAACAGGTGCTTGGTGGCTCTTTAGGAGACTCCCCTTGTCCTGCTCACGGGGACTGTGCGCCGACGAGGGCATGCAGGAGAACCACACAGAAAGCATGCGCCAGGTGTGCACTGAACCTCTGGCAGAGGACATTGTGCGGAAGGCGACTTGCTGATCCCTGATTCCCTTCTTGTCTCATCAGGTGTCCCTGCTGTTCTCAAAGTGACTGGACCTCAGGCCACTGCAGGAACCCCATTGGTCACTATGCGGCCTGCCAGTCAAGCTGGAAAAGCCCCTGTTACTGTGACCTCCCTGCCTGCTGGTGTACGAATGGTTGTGCCCACACAGAGTGCCCAGGGGACGGTGAGCTGGGGAATATGGGGGAACAGATGCAGGGTTTCTGGCCTGGTAGAATAAATAGGTCTGGGGGAGGTGGGGGAGGTGGTGAGCTTCCACCTCCCCCAGCATCTCTGCTGTCTACAGTATGCGCGTAATATGCCTGTCCTGTCCTGAAAGCTGCTGAGGCTGAGGTCTCTGGCAGGCTTGAGAGTTAATAAGTTAATGCCACAGAAGGACCTAACCTTCCATGTGATCCTTGGGGCATTTTAGATGTGGACTTCCTTGTCCTGGAGCCTGAGGGGAAAATCTGATCATCTGGGTCTGACCCAGGCCTCTGAGAAGTGAGCTTTGTTTGGCTCTGTGAGGGTTTTTTTTTTTTTTTTTTTTTTGCGTGTTTGTTTTGCTTTGCAGTGCTGGATATAGAACCCTGGCCCCTTGAGCATGCCAAGCAGGTGTTCTACCACTAAGCTATATACTCAACAGCTCTTTATTTTGAGACAGGGCATCACTAAGTTGCCTGGACTGCCCTCAAACGTGTGGTTCTTCTATCTCAGCCTCCTGAGTTACTGGGCTTACAGGCATTTGTCGTCACTTTAGGCCTGACCCCGTGGTCTTTATAGAAGATGTGGAACCCTGGAAGCTCCTGCCTCTTGGCTGGCTTCCTGCTCAGTGGCGGGGAGGCAAGTCCTTGCTCTTGGGGACTAGGAACAAGGGGACTAGCAGCAGGCAAAATCAAAGGATGCTGCTGAGCCTCTTGGCAGGTTCTGGGGAGGCTGTGGAATTAAGAAGTCGGTGTCCCCGTGGCTCACACACCTCGTGCTCACCACAGGTGATTGGCAGCAACCCACAGATGAGTGGAATGGCTGCCCTAGCAGCTGCTGCCGCCGCCACCCAGAAAATCCCCCCTTCCTCGGCACCCACTGTGCTGAGTGTCCCAGCGGGGACCACCATTGTCAAGACTGTGGCTGTCACACCTGGCACGACCACCCTCCCGGCCACTGTGAAGGTGGCCTCCTCCCCTGTCATGGTGAGCATCTGTCTTCTACAGCTGCTTCTCAACCAGCGGCTTCAGGGCTATGGGCTTCTTAATGCTGATCAGCCTTCGGAAAGAAGTGATTTCTAAAGAAGTGATTTCTACAAGGTTTTGGACCAGCCCTCGAGGGCATAATCGGTGCTGTCATCAGGCTGTGGAGTTAGCAGTGAGCCTTCGGTGTGTGGCGGCCTTGGGCGAGCCCTGTGGTTGTCGTTCAGTAAACAGAGCTGCGCCTCCAGCTGAGGATGGCCAGTTGTGCCTGAGGCACAGGCGTTTGGTCTCATGCGCACGTATAGTCTCTGCCTCTGGCTGGCACATACAGTCTCTGCCTCAGCACCCTGCTCATCACCTGCCTCTGCTTTCTCCAGGTGAGCAACCCAGCCACTCGCATGCTGAAGACCGCAGCTGCCCAAGTGGGCACATCTGTGTCCTCTGCAGCTAACACATCTACCCGCCCTATCATCACGGTACACAAGTCTGGAACAGTGACGGTGGCTCAGCAAGCCCAAGTAGTGACCACGGTAGTGGGCGGTGTCACCAAGACCATCACCCTGGTGAAAAGCCCTATCTCTGTCCCAGGAGGCAGTGCTCTGGTGAGTGACAGGCACTGGCTGCCCCTGGTGACACGTTGCCCCAGGGCCAGCTCCAGAAGTGTGTCCCAGGCCATGCCCTTGTTTGGTTTCCAGATCATTGCCTACTTCATGCTTTCCTTTTTAGATTTCCAATCTGGGGAAAGTGATGTCAGTGGTCCAGACCAAACCAGTTCAGACTTCAGCTGTTACTGGCCAAGCGTCTACAGGCCCCGTGACTCAGATCATCCAGGTAAGCTGCGAGGCCTTCCTGGAAATGGGCCCCAGACCATGGGCACTGCGCCACGAGAACACTCCCGCTTCTTCTCTGCCTGCAGGAGGTCCCACAAGCTTGTGTGTATGGTTCAGTGAGTCCTGCTGCTCAGTCACATTTGCCCACAGTGTCTAGAACATTCTCTGAGCTGCTTGGCTCACCATTAGACAGTACAGTAATAAACCTGCCTTGTGTATTTGAGGACTTGTTCTATTTCCGGTATACATCCGTCTCAGCTCAGTGGATAGAGCAATGTTAATATTGTCGGTCGGTCTCAGATAACAGTCAGTTGTGTTGCACATGATTTTCCTGTGTTGGTTTCCTTGGGGTACCTACAGCAAGCATTCTCTCCCGGGAGTGGTGCCATTCATCCCCCATCTTCTCCTTTCCAGACCAAAGGGCCCCTGCCAGCAGGGACAATCCTGAAGCTGGTGACCTCAGCCGATGGCAAGCCCACCACCATTATCACCACCACTCAGGCCAGTGGGGCCGGGACCAAGCCCACCATCTTGGGCATTAGCAGCGTCTCCCCCAGCACCACCAAACCCGGCACGACCACCATTATCAAGACCATCCCCATGTCGGCCATCATCACCCAAGCGGGTGCCACAGGTAGGAGGCGCTCCAGCCTACGGCTTCCTGGAGTCCTTTGCCAGCGAGTAACTTGGGTGGGGAAAGTAGGAGACCAGGTGCTCCCACCCACCTTTTTTTCCGCCCCTCCCTCTGCCAATCTTCTTCTTGACTTTCTTCTGTCCCTTGGTGTGAGGCTGCTGAGGGGTGGTAGGGTCCTGATTGGTAGTGCTTCACCTTCCTGTCATACAGCATGGGTAACTGCTTAGAAGCATGGTGTGGGGAAGCAATCTCTGACGCTCTCGGTGTCCCCGTGCAGGCGTGACCAGCACTCCCGGCATCAAGTCCCCCATCACCATCATCACCACCAAAGTTATGACTTCGGGGACTGGAACACCCGCCAAGATCATCACCGCGGTTCCCAAGATTGCTACAGGCCACGGGCAGCAAGGAGTGACCCAGGTGAGGCCCTTGCGGCCCCTCTTCACCGCAGTATCCAGGGCAGTCCACCCCCCCCCCCACAGGCCATAGGTGCCCTCCTGATGGGCCTGGGAGGGGCAGCACAGTCCAGCCAGCTTGGGAGTGACGTTGGCGGCGCTTTGCTCTGGTGTTCCAGGTGGTGCTAAAGGGGGCCCCTGGACAGCCAGGCACCATCCTCCGCACCGTGCCCATGGGCGGCGTTCGCCTGGTCACCCCAGTCACCGTCTCCGCTGTCAAGCCAGCCGTCACCACATTGGTTGTGAAGGGCACCACAGGTGTGTAGCCAGCAGGCCAGGTCCTCAGCAATGCTGGGCTCCATCCCTTTAGCCTCCCTGTGGCCGCCTCCCCTTAGTCTGCTGGGGGAGTCGTGGAAGGTGCCGTCTGGAGCCTTCTGCCTCCGATGGCTGTACTCCAGAGCTCGCATTCTCCCAACCCCATTCAGGGAGAGAGGCTCCTCGGGGGGAGGCGGCGGCGGCAGGCCTCATTCTACCTCTACCGCCCTTTTCCTCAGGTGTCACAACCCTAGGCACAGTGACGGGTACCGTCTCTACCAGCCTCGCTGGCGCTGGGGCCCACAGCACCAGCGCCTCCCTGGCTACACCCATTACCACCCTGGGCACCATTGCCACCCTCTCGAGTCAGGTGATCAATCCTACTGCCATCACTGTGTCTGCGGCCCAGACTACCTTGACAGCTGCCGGCGGCCTCACCACCCCCACCATCACCATGCAGGTGAGTCCGGCCCCGAGGATCTGCCCCCTCTCACGGGAACATAGGCCTCGCAGCCCCTCTCCATTCTCCACCCATGCACATGCGGCTCGGCTGTGGGCGGCCGGGCAGCATTTCCATACCTGGGCGGATTCCCATTGCACAGTCCCTGCCTTGCCGCCCATCACGCAGACAGCGCATTTTGAGCAGAGTCCAGTTGGGAAACATTAAGATGGTTCTTTTACCAGGGTAGAGGATGTGGCGGTTGATGTCCTTACTCACGTAGACCGTGCTTTTCTCTTGATGCATTTTCTTAAGCTGTACTCTCCTAAAGGTGGCGGAGCATCTGTGCGTGACTTTGGCACATTCTGGATAGGCTCCATTTGCTTGGCAGAGGGCTTGCCTCTAGCTTCACCCCTGATCCTTCTTGGTCTCTGAACAAGTCAGTGTCCTGGGATCGCAGAGCGAGTTGATCTTGAGATTGCTCGCCATGGCAGATCCAGAGATACAGCTGGTGGGCCCAGCTGGCATGGGTGGCACCTCCGCCCTGTGGGAGAGCCGTCACATAATACCTGGTACTAACTTGGGGTCTCGTGTCTGCCCTAGCCCGTGTCTCAGCCTACCCAGGTGACTTTGATCACGGCACCCAGTGGAGTGGAGGCCCAGCCCGTGCATGACCTTCCTGTGTCCATTCTGGCCTCACCTACGACAGAACAGCCCACGGCCACGGTCACCATTGCTGACTCGGGGCAAGGGGATGTGCAGCCTGGCACGGTGACCCTGGTGTGCTCCAACCCGCCCTGCGAGACGCACGAGACGGGCACCACCAACACCGCCACCACCACCGTGGTGGCTAACCTTGGGGGCCACCCCCAGCCTACCCAAGTGCAGTTTGTTTGTGACAGACAGGAAGCAGCTTCACTCGTGACCTCTGCCGTGGGCCAGCAGAATGGCAGTGTGGTCCGCGTCTGCTCCAATCCGCCCTGTGAGACCCACGAGACAGGCACCACCAACACAGCCACCACAGCCACGTCCAACCTAGCCGGGCAGCATGGCTGCTCCAACCCGCCCTGCGAGACCCACGAGACGGGCACCACCAGCACTGCCACCACAGCCATGTCCAACATGGGGGCCCGGCAGCAGCGAGACGCCCGTCGCGCCTCGGGCACCCCCACTCTGGTCCGCATCGCTGTGGCTCCTGGGGTGTCAGAGGGAGCCCCGGGCGCTGTCAAGCCTCCGTGCCAAGCCCGCCAGATGTGCGCAACAAGCACCACCGTGACTGTGATGGCCACCGGGGGCCCGCGCTCAGCCGGGCCCATGCTCAGGCCCAGCGCTGCCCTGGAGGCTGCGGCCCACAGCCCTGTTTTTGTGCAACCCGCCCCTCCAGGCAGCAGCAAAGCCAGCCTGAGCGCTCCCGGCAGCAAGGACGTGCTCCTCGGGTGCCAGCTGGAGCCCCATCCCACCTACACCTCCAACGCCCCGACTGTGGCCCTCCCCGTGATGGGGGCCGGGGAGCCTGGCACCGTGCTGGGCATCCCCGCGCCCCTGTACGAGAGCCTGCACCCAGGAGCGCCCAGCACCACCATGACTGTGACGGCCCTGGAGGCGCTGCTGTGCCCCTCGGCCACCGTGACCCAAGTGTGCTCCAACCCACCCTGTGAGACCCACGAGACGGGCACCACCAACACCGCCACTACCTCCAATGCGGGCAGCGCCCAGCGGGTGTGCTCCAACCCGCCTTGCGAGACTCACGAGACGGGCACCACTCACACGGCCACCACTGCCACCGCCAACGGGGGTGCAGGCCAGCCCGATGGCGGGCAGCAGCCCCCACCAGGCCACCCCTGCGAGACACACCAGACCACTTCCACTGGCACTACCATGTCAGTCAGTGTGGGCGCCCTGCTGCCCGACGCCGCCCCTGCTCACAGGACCCTAGAGTCCGCCGTCTCCTCCCAGGCCGGTGCTTCATTGCTGACTCCCTTCCCGACACAGAGGGTGTGCTCCAACCCTCCCTGTGAGACCCACGAGACGGGCACCACGCACACAGCCACCACTGTCACCTCCAACATGAGCTCAAACCAAGGTGAGTGGAGGCCTTCGCGGCCCAGTGGCCTACACCTGAGAGGATGAAAGCAAAGACGGCGGGACAGCCTGTCGCCAATCCAGCACATGCGGAGCCTCCCAGTCTAGCCTGGGGTGGGGCAGGGATGTGTGGCTGTGCCGACCGCTCACCTGCGAAGGTGTCTAGCAGATGGCCCGTCTCCACTCCGCTGGCCCTCCCTCCAGGACACTGGAAGCCCCATGGAGGCCAACCAGTCTCCTTGTCACCCCCCCAGACCCCCCACCAGCTGCCAGTGACCAGGGGGAAGCGGAGAGCACCCAGGGTGACAGCATAAACATCACCAGCTCCAGTGCCATCACCACGACTGTGTCCTCCACGCTGCCCCGAGCGGTGACCACCGTGACACAGTCCACACCAGTACCAGGCCCCTCTGTGCCGGTAAGAGCCCCCAAAGGATCCCTTCGTCCGCTTTGCCTCTGGCCCTTGCTGTTCCAGATTTGGACACCAGATGTCACTGTTGTACCGGGCAAGGTCCTGCTCCCGGTTTCCTTTTTCAGACCATAAAAGGGCAACCTGGGTGTCTACTGGGCAGGAGGCGAGAGCCCAGTCGTGCTGAGAGACTGCTGATGGTGGTTTCTTTCTAAACCTCCTTCCTATCATAGCTGTGTGCCATCGCTTGTCATTTGCGGTAGCTTGTAATAAAAGTAAGGCCACGGGAGTGCAGTGCCCTTCTGTCGAAAGCGGGAAGCAAGCATCTCTGAAGAAGAGTCACACTGGGGGGGAGGGGAGAAGTCCTCCACCACATCTCCCTGCCTGGCCACACCTAGCACCCCAGCCGTCCCCAGCCACGCTTGGCATGGGGTCAGGCTGGCCTGGGAGGAAGATGCTGTAGGTTTGCAGGGAAAGATGGGAGTTTCTTTTCCTCTTTCGGCATCACTGCCTGCTTCTAGCCTCCCTCTCCTCCCCTCTGACGGGGGCTTCTCTCCCTTTCTAGAAGATCTCATCACTGACTGAAACTGCCCCAGGGGCTCTGACTTCCGAAGTCCCCATTCCGGCCACCATAACAGTGACCATAGCCAACACAGAAACTTCTGACATGCCCTTCTCTGCTGTTGACATCCTGCAGCCCCCGGAAGAACTCCAGATCTCACCAGGGCCTCGCCAGCAGCTGCCACCCCGGCAACTCCTGCAGTCTACCGCCACGCCCCTGATGGCGGAATCCACCGAGGTCCTGACAGCCTCCCAGACCCCTGAGCTCCAGGCCGCCGTGGATCTGAGCAGCACGGGGGACCCATCTTCGGGCCAGGAGCCTGCCAGCTCGGCAGTAGTGGCCACTGTGGTGGTCCAGCCGCCCCCGCCCACACAGTCTGAAGTAGACCAGTTGTCCCTGCCCCAAGAGCTGATGGCTGAGGCCCAGGCGGGCACCACCACGCTCATGGTGACAGGGCTCACCCCCGAGGAGCTGGCGGTGACTGCAGCAGCTGAAGCAGCTGCCCAGGCCGCAGCCACAGAGGAAGCTCAGGCCCTGGCCATCCAGGCAGTGCTCCAGGCTGCCCAACAGGCCGTCATGGGTAGGTGCCGACTGGCAGCCTCCGGGGATGGGCACCCTGGGGAGAAATGACAGCCCTAGGTGGAGGTGCCACGGCTCACCTCCTGCAGGAATGGCACCTTGGGCCTCAGGGTGGGGGGAGTAGGTGTCGGATGGGCCGGCCTGGGGGTTAGCCCATTGGCCAGGGTATAGAACCTGTCCCCGAGTAGGGGTGGGACAGAAGAAGCTTGCAGAGAAACGAGGTCTTGGTAATGAGGTCTTGGTAACAGTGAGCGTCTGGGTCTGTATCAGGGACACGGCCAGCTACCCAGCGAGGATTGGGCCAGGCCCAGGCAAGGGTCGGAGTTCCTTTTGAGTCGTTGTTTTTCTTGGTCCCGGAACAGGTACGGGGGAGCCCATGGATACCTCCGAGGCAGCAGCGGCCGTGACCCAGGCTGAGCTGGGACACCTTTCAGCCGAAGGCCAGGAGGGCCAGGCCACCACCATCCCCATTGTGCTGACCCAGCAGGAGCTGGCCGCCCTGGTGCAGCAGCAGCAGCAGCTGCAGGAGGCCCAGGCCCAGCAGCAGCACCACCTCCCCACCGAGGCCCTGGCCCCCGCCGACAGCCTCAATGACCCAACCATCGAGAGCAACTGTCTGAACGAGCTGGCCGGGGCTGTCCCCAACACGGTGGCCTTGCTGCCTTCTACGGCCACCGAAAGTAAGCAGGGTCCTGCCTTACCCCCAGGGAACGCTGATGGAGGGAAAGGCGTTTCCTACTGCTAGAGTTGAGACCTGGGGGTGTGTGGATGGTACAGTGATATCAACTGGTCCAGGCCCTGAACAGAGGCCCTTCCCACAAATTGTGTGCGTGGGGGGGTGTCGGTGTGTCAGTCAGTCGGTCGATTATGGGGCTTAAACCCAGGGCATGAGCTCTGCTCAAAGCTAGTGCTCTAGCACTTGAGCCACAGTGCCATTTCTGGTTTTCTGGTGGTTAATTGGAGATAAAGAGTCTCACAGACTTTCCTGCCCAGGCTGGCTTTGAACCGCAATGGTCAGATCTCAGCCTCCTGAGTAGCTAGGATGTAGGTTTGGGCTGCCAGTGCCCAGCTCAGTTCCATGAACTCTTTATTTCTTCCCAGGCCTGGCTCCATCCAACACGTTCGTGGCCCCCCAGCCTGTTGTGGCCAGCCCAGCGAAGCTGCAGGCTGCGGCTACCCTGACTGAAGTGGCCAATGGCATTGAGACTCTGGGCGTGGTGAGTTGTGTGTGCTGGGGATCAAGGGGTCATTACTGCCACCAGGCCCCAGGGCCTTAATTTCATCTCTCTTACATTTTCCAGAAACCAGACTTGCCACCCCCACCCAGCAAAGCCCCCGTCAAAAAGGAGAACCAGTGGTTTGACGTGGGGGTCATTAAGGGCACCAATGTAATGGTGACCCACTACTTTCTGCCATCAGAAGACTCTGTCCCGTTGGATGTAAGTGACACCAGGAGGTAGCAGTGCAGGGGGGTACATGAAACAAGTATTGTAGAAGCAGGATGGATCAGCGCCACCACCCAGAGTTGGGGCTCACCGAACGCTCTGTCCTTGGGCCAACTTGAATAGCAGGAATCCTGAGGGCACCTCCATCCAAAGCAGGAGCAAAGCAAGAGATCTTGGTCCTTCTTTGCCAGGACCCAGTCTCCAGCCTCATGCCTACCATGCCCGGCCTTGCTGCGAAGGGGCAGCCAGTGCTGACCTTCCCGAGTCCTGGGGCATCAGCAGACTTCCCAGGATGGGAAACACGTGCTGAGGATGGAGCTTGGGGCCTCACCTGTGCTAGGCCAGCGCTGTGCCAATGAGCACCGCCCCCAGGCCCAGAGCTCGCAGCTTTTATGTTATTATGAAGGTGATGTATAGAGGGGTTACAGTTATGTGAGTAACAAGTCCATTTCCTATCCGGCATTATTAGCACTCCCATTCCTTCCTTCCCACCCCAAGTTGTAAAGTTTGTTTTCAACATAGTGTCTTGTACATCTCATTGTTACAATGATTCAACCTGTTTCCTTGTTTCAGTGTTTTGTTATTTCCCTTTCCTTCCCCTCCCCAAATTAGACAAATGTATCTACAAGATGCAGAGCTGGAATGAAATACAGTGACAGTGGGTTATTACCATGGGGGAAGAACATACAAAACAAACAAAAAAAAATCACATAATATAAGTACCTTAAAAACAACAGCAACAAAAACAACAGCAACAAAGATAAAACCTCCTGTGTCCCTGTCTCAGGGTTCATTTGGGGTTCATTTCACATATGAGCTTGCTTTCTTGATGGCATGCTGGCTTCATGCTAGTCTCTTCTGTTCTGCCTTCTTTCCACCAGGATGACTCGAGCACAGTCCCTGACTATAACCAGCTGAAGAAGCAGGAGCTGCAGCCAGGCACAGCCTACAAGTTTCGTGTTGCTGGTATCAACGCCTGTGGCCGGGGGCCCTTCAGTGAGATATCGGCCTTTAAGACCTGTCTGCCTGGCTTTCCAGGAGCTCCTTGTGCCATTAAAATTAGCAAAGTGAGTCTTACCTGGAGGCGGTATTCAGTATGCCAACCAGTGGGCTGGTTGGTGCATCTGGCTGGTGCAGCTCCACCCCCTGGGGAAAGACTGCTGCCTAGTGGTTAATGAATGTCAAGAGCCTGGTTTTGCCATTGGTTACCAGGGTAACCAGGAAAAGGTCTCCATGTTCTTAGCCTCACTTTGTGGTAACCTGGCAGCTAAGCTTCAGTGAGCAGCCGCTGCATGCAAGACAGCCCGTGCACAGCGTGTTCTTTTTTGTGGAGGGAGGGGTCTGGTCGTGGGGCCTGAACTCTGGGCCTGGGCACTGTCCCTCAGCTCTTCAGCTCAAGGCAAGGGCTCTATCACTTGAGCCACAGCTCCACTTCCAGTCTTTTTTTTTTTTTTTTTTGCTTATGTGGTGCTGAGGAATTGAACCCAGGGCCTCATGCATGCAAGGCAAGCGTTGTACCACTGAGCCACCTTCCCAGCCTGACAGCGTGTTCTTTAGTCCTGCACATATCCCGAAGGGCTCTGATGCCTTGAGCGCCATTTCTCAGGGTTCTCAGGGATAAGACCCTGCATCTCATACACTTAGTGACATAAGGTGTTTGAAGGGCTACTTTGGTGTCCTGGTTCTCTATTTTTCCACTTGAGAGGCCATGTCTGGGATGTGTGTGGCGTTAGAGGGGATTGGTGTCTGGGATGTGTGTGGCGTTAGGGGGGATTAGGAACAGTCAGTTCTAGAAGCTCCTTACCCCCTTGTCCTGAGTACAGGCAGGGTAGGCAGTCACCACAGCAGCAGAATAAGACACGACTTGACTTTGCCTTGGGTTCTAGAGTCCCGATGGTGCCCACCTCACCTGGGAGCCGCCCTCAGTGACGTCTGGCAAGATCATCGAGTACTCTGTGTACCTGGCCATCCAGAGCTCCCAGGCCGGAGGCGAGTCCAAGAGCTCGGCCCCGGCGCAGCTGGCCTTCATGCGAGTGTATTGTGGGCCCAGCCCCTCCTGCCTAGTGCAGTCATCCAGCCTGTCCAATGCCCACATTGACTATACCACCAAACCCGCCATCATCTTCCGCATCGCCGCCCGGAATGAGAAGGGCTATGGCCCAGCCACGCAAGTGAGGTGGTTGCAAGGTGGGTGCTACATAGGGCTGAGCACAGCCAGAGGTATGGGGGTACAGGAGAGGTAGTGGGTAGGACAGGGACCCTAGCTACACTCAGGAGGCTTGGAAGCACGCGGGTGGCAAGGTGTAAGCTTCTTGGAGGGTCTCTCGCCGTTCGCTCTGGAGTGGAACCTGTCATGTCTCAAGACCCTAACTGCATATTTAGACTAGGGTACTCGGGCTCAGCTGGGCAAGGTGGTGGCATCTGTGGGGAGGGGGGTAGCCCCCTGTGCTCAGGAAAGGCAGCCAGGCAGGAGCTGAGCAGTGAAGGCTGTGGCCTGGGAGGACCCAAAGGGATGTAGCCCTGAAGGGGGCACGGAGGGGGTCCGATGGAGGCAGGGGTAGAGGGCACAAAAGCATTCTCAGCCTTTGTTTTTGCTTTTTTCCTTGGTTAGTCTTGGGGCTTGAACTCCGGGGCTGTTCCTGAGCTCTTTTGCTGAATCACTTTGAGCCACAGCACCACTTCCAAGTTTCTGGTGGTTAAACGGAGATCAGGGTCTCACAGACTTTCCTGCCTGGGCTGGCTTCCTACTGCGACCTTCACATCTCAGCCTCCCGAGTAGTTGAGATGACAGGCGCGAGAGCCACCGGCTCTGGCTCTCACTCTCAGCTCTTCACTGGTCTCCTCACCATCCCCTGTTCCTTTCAGAAACCAGTAAAGACAGCTCGGGCACCAAGCCAGCCAGCAAGCGGCCCATGTCCTCTCCGGAGATGTAAGCAAGTCCTCTGTCACCTGTGTGGCTTGGGGTGGGGCCACGGGCTGAGGGCTCGGCCTGTCCCGGGTCCTGGGCCTCGCCATGCTCGCCAGTCCTCACTGAGCTCTTGCCTTTTTTCTATCTTCAAAGGAAATCTGCTCCAAAGAAGTCGAAGGCAGATGGCCAGTGAGATTGAGCTGACCAGCACCTGGATTCTCCTCCAGACCCCCTCTGCTTCAGGAAGCACCCTCCAGGGCCCTCCCCTTCCGCCCTGCCTGCCTGGCCTTTGTACTTCGCCTCACCAGCCACTGGCCACCCACCATGCGTTCCCCTCCCGCCTCTTTTTTTACAAGAATCGAAAGAAAGCACATTTCAACCATTGCTGCTGGGGGGAAGCAGAAGGCAGATTGGAAAGAGCAGTGAGCAAGCAAGCAAGCGAGAGAGAGAGCTGGGCTCTTCCTTCCTCCCTTCTTCCTTTCCTCCCTCCTTCCCTCCCTCCTCCTCCACCCAACATCCGCCCCAGGACTGAGTAAGACTGGAGAATTCCAGAGACCTTGGGGGAAGAGAAAAATTCAGAGCGGATAGTGCCCGCTTCTCCAAGTCCAGGCCCAATCATGTTCTGGGGTCCTGGCCCCCCCCCGGCTGAGGGGCGATCAGGATCAGGGTGAGAGGCCCATAGGAGTGAGGGGAGAGCCCCATGCCAGCTGCCTCCTTGGAGGCCAGGTCCAGTCCTGTTACATTAGTGCCCTTGTGTCCCGCCACCTCCCCGCCTCTCGCTTCGCCAGCCGCGTCTCACCAGGCAAACCCCCAGGAAGCTTCCACACCTCTCAGAGGCCTTTGTGTGCCCGCCTTCCCCCCACGCCCCCTTTACCAAGAGAAAAGAAAGAAGGAAAAAGCAAAAGGGAGGAAGGAGCCTGGAAGGCAAGCCTGCGCAGCGGCTGCAGAATCCTCCAGAATCCTCCGTGCGCCCGGAGCCAGCGCCGCTCACAACTGCTGCATTTGTTGTATTTTTTAAGTTGAGATTGAAGTTAACATTTTTATTGTAATTTTAGCCTTAGCGTGTGGGGTTTTTGGCCCCCCCTTTTTTGTTGTTGTTTGTTAGCTGTGTACAGAACGTGTAACTTTTTTTTTCTCTTCTTTTTTTCTCCTTGGCTAATCTTTGACAGGGATCTTTCTGGAGAAAACAGCGGGGGTCAGCAAGGGCAGGAGAGGTCTGGGGTCTCTCGTGTAGGATCTGGTAGTCAATACCCAGTCTAGTCTCCTCCAACTAACCCCTGTGCCCTTTGTCCCCATGCCTCTGGGACAAAGAAAGGGTGAGCTTCCCCGAGAGTGAGCACTCCCCTGGAAGAGGCCTCATCTCCCTCAGCATCATTGTTTCAGAAATTGACCCTGGCTCTGGCGGCCACTGGGGGCGGGGGCGGGGGGGGGCTGGGAAGTTGGGGAGGGGCAAGGGTGGGAGCTGGCCCTCGTGGCAGGTAATCCCTAGAGAGTTGGCTGACCACCAGCTCTGGGTTTGACTGTGTTGTCTCCTAGGCTGAGCCCTTCTCCCTTGGGGTCCAGACTCAGGGTTGGGGGTCTGGATTTTAGGGCTCCACACCCAAGCTTTAGGCAATGAATAATAAGGTTTGCAGGCAGGCCACAGAAGGATTTGAACTGAATAGCCTACCTTTTCAGTCTCCCCAGCTCTGCCTGGAGATTTAGCAGGGGAGGGGAGAATTAGCACCCCACCCTATCCCTCAACCTCTGGCCCATACCCTGTGGGCCTCCGGTCCGTGTATTATAGTATATTTCTCTGTGGAAAATGTCACGTTTAGTCACCTTGCAGCCACTAGCCTGGACCCATTGTTTTGCCCCGCCCCCCACCCCGTCTCTTCTCCCAAGCGCCCTTGGATTTCTCCTTTCTGAGAACAGCACCACCCGTTCCTCTATTGTAGAGTAACCCCGTGACTCAATATTACCATAGTGCGATGTTGTTTTGTGCTATTTTGAACAATTAAAAGACTTTTTTTGAAATAAACTGGTCTCACTGTCAGGGAGGACCTGCCCAAGGCTCATATGTGGGTAACTTGCTGGTTGCCCTTAGAAAATCCTGAAACCAATCAGTGGCTCACCTGTGTTAGTCTGAGGGCCTCAAGAGGCTGGCCTGCAAGATTGGAAGCCAGCCAGCCAGGGCAGCAAAGTGTAAGACTGGCATCTCCAGGTAACCAGGCTGGTGGGTGGCTCATGTGGTAAGCAAGGAGGCCAAAGGGAACAAGAGGCTGAGTTCAAGTCTCTGTCCCTGCACACGAGGAAAAGGAAGGTGAAGGTTTTTCTTCCTTTTGATTTCTAAGTAGCTATACAAAGGGGTTTCAAATTGGATTGTGAAGTACAAGTATCATTATAAAGGTGATGTACAGAATGGTTACTGTTTTGTAAGTCAGGTAATGAGTATATCTTTTATTTTTGGTTGGTCATGGGGCTTGAACTCGGCCTGGGCGCTGTCCCTCAGCTCTTCAGCACAAGGTGAGCACTCTACCACTTGAGCCACAGTGCCACTTCTGGTTTTCTGGTGGTTCATTGGAGATAAGAGTCTCAGGACTTTCCTGCCTGGGCTGGCTTTGAACCACAGTCCTCAGGTCTCAGCCTCCTAAGTAGCTAGGATGACAGGTGTGAGCCACTGGCGCCGGGTATGAGTACATTTCTTTTTGGACAATGTTACCCCTTTGTCTCCCTGTTTTTCCCTTCGGTCCCTCCCACAAGTTGGATGGTTCATTTTCCCCATAGTGTTTTCTGCATCTGTTAACCTTCTGTCCCTCCAAAAACATTGGGGGCTCTTGGGCTAGGACCCCCAGGATGGCATTTCAGTGATGGCCCAGGGGCCTCTGGTGCACCTGCTGCTGACTGCCTGGGGAACCATATCACCTTCCTGCTCCTTCCCCGCTAGAGGGCAGGGCACTGGGCGGAGCACTGCCAGATCATCTGAGCAGCCAGTTTCCTTGGGTGGGTTAGGGGAGAAGCAGCTGGTATGCTTTCCACCCACAAGCTCAGGGGCTCCAGCATGTCATCTGGGACACATCTTCCTCCTGGTAGGGGCTACAAGAGTGAACCCTCTTCTGCTTTTTTTCTTTCCTTTTTTTTTTTATGGTCAGTTATGGGGCTTGAACTCAGGGCCTGGGTGCTGTCCCTGAGCTGCTTTAGCTCAAGGCTAGCCCTCTACCACTTAAGCCACAGCTCCACTTCCGGTTTTTTCCAAGCAGTTTCTTGGAGATGAGTCTCACAGATTTTCCTGCTCTGGCTGGCTTTGAACTGGGATCCTCGGATCTCTGCCTCCTGAGTAGCTAGGATTACAGGCATGAGCCAGCTTTTGCTGTTTTCTCTTGAACAAGACTGAGCCATACTGATAGCTCAGCCCCTGGAAGGAGCAGCACAGCCAGGATCCAATGGACTGAGTGCTGGGCAAAGTGTGCGGCAAGCAGGCCAAGAGCGCCTGGGGGACAAGGAGCCCAAGACTGTCCAGGGTCAGCCCGAGCATGCAGGTCCCAGTGCCAGGCTAGTTAAGGAGAGCAACCTGGCCCCTCCCCTCAGGTCTGTTGTAAGGGTGTGAGGGACATGCTTCCCTCCACACACCACCACTCTGCTACCAAGGGCTGCCTTTGTCGCCCCTCCCACACTACTGTGCTTTCCCGCACGTGCTGGTGGCTGGAAGAAGGTCCAGTAGCATAGCTTCCCTACAAGCCTTGTATCCTTCCACCTAGCCTGCTGGTCTTTACACCACAGGCCTTGGCCATTTCCTACCATAGGAACTCCGACCTGCCTCAGATGGAACCCAGCACCTGGTATCTCCCCGAGGGAGCCTAGGAGTATGGCCTCACAGGGGACCTACAACCTCTAGGGCTCTGGTTTGGCCAGGGTACCTGTGGAGCACAAAGATTGGGAAACATTTCAGCCACCCCGTCCGTAGGGGTATGGAGACAGATGAGATACTGTCCTTTCCAGCTGGGCACTGGTACCTCATGCCTGTAATCCTATTTAGGAGACAGATTTGAAGATGGAGGTTCAAAGCCAGCCTGAACAGGAAAGTCCATGAGATTCTTGTCTCCACTTAACCACCAAAACACCAGAAGTAGAGCTGTGGCTCTAATGGTAGAGTGCTAGCATTGAACAAAAGGACTGTCCCTTTTTTCCATTAAACCACCAGAAAACTGGAAGTGGCACTGTGGCTCAAGCAGTACAATATTGGCCTTGAGCTGAAGAGCTGAGGGACAGTGCCCAGGCCCACTGGGAGTCAGTGGCTCATGCCTGTAATCCTAGGTACTCAGGAGGCTGAGATCTGAGGATCGAGGTTCAAAGCCAGCCCAGGCAGGAAAGTCCATGAGACTCATCTCCAATAAACCGCCAGAAGTGGCACTGTGGCTCAAGTGGTAGAGCGCTCGCCTTCAGCTGAAGAGCTGAGGGACAACATCCAGACTCAGAGTTCAAGCCCCAAGACCAACAAAAGAAAAAAAAAAGGGCTGTCCCAGCAGCTCACATCTGTAATCCTAGTTACTCAGGAAGCTAAGATTGGAGGATCGCAGCTCGAAACTAGCTGACACAAGGAAGTCCATGAGACATTATCTCCACTACACTACTCAAAAAACCAGAAGTAGGGCTGTGGCTCAAGTGGTAGAGCACTAACCTTGAGCAAAAAGAGCTCAGGGACAGCACTTGGGCCCTTAGTTCTAGCCCAGGAATGGCATACCAAAAAAAAAAAAAAAAAAGAGCCAGGCTCCAGTGGCTCATGCCTATAATCCTAGCTACTCAAGAGGCTGAGATCTGAGGATCGTGGTCCAAAGTCAGCTTGGGCAGGAAAGTCCGTGAGACTCTTAGTTCCATTAAACTACCAGAAAACTGAAAGTGGCATTGTGGCTCAAGTGGTACAGTACTGGCCCTGAGCTGAAGAGCTGAGGGACAGTGCCCAGAGTTCAAGCCCCATGCATGACTAACAAAAAAAAAGAGAGAGAGAGGAAGAAAGAAAAGAATGAAGGTAGGAAGAGGGACTTCCGAGTCTCTACCTTTGGACTCGATTCAGTCCCCTGGACCCAGGACTACCCCCCAGGAACATACCAAAGCTTACCCTTGGTGTGAGGGAAGCAGTTTGTGCACAGGAGGCAGGGGAGAGGCAGGACATGGACTGAGGCAGCATTAGTAATGACACACCTGTGAGCCAGGGGACCTGAAGCATGAGTTAAGCCAAGAGTGGACATGGACACGGCAGGCCTGCCAGCCCCGGGGACATCACAAAGGGAAACTGTGGTGGTGGGGGCAGCCCACAGCATGAGCCAAGCCATCTGGAAGGAGGCAGCCATCATGATACCATACCCCAGCACAGGGCCAGGTCCTGGAACCTCTCTGTGCTGACCCTCTTCCAGAATTATATCAACAAGGCACGAAGACCTAGTGATGCTCCTGGGCATAACCTTCCAGAAGTTATCCTAGCTCCCCAAGCTACTCTAGGAGCCTAAGGACCTCAGACATTTTGGTTCCTGAAACACCTTCTGCATATAATTGTACTAAGTAGGGAAAATCCTGGCAGGTAGTGACAATGGGGGTAGGTTCAATGTGGTTACCCTGTCTCAAAGATTCTGAAGGGATTACGCCATCATGGAGCAACCCGAAGCAAGCTGGGCAGCTGGAGGTCAGGCCTGACCTGCAGTGTTAGTCTGGCTTCCTAGCAGCATCCTTTGTGGTGAAGAAGTCAGGGTCAAACTAGGTACTGGTGGTTCACCCCCATAATTCCAGCTAGGAGACTGTGATCCGAGGATTGCAATTCAAAGCCAGCCGGGGCAGGATAGTCTATGAGACTCCTATCTCCAACTAACCACGAGAAGACTAGAAGTGCTGCTGTGGCTCAAGTGGTAGAATGCTAGCCTTGAGTGCAAGAGCTCAGGGATAGAGCTCAGGCCCTGAGTTCAAGCCCCAGGACCAACACACACACACACACACTCAGGACCAGTGGCTGCACCCATCTCTGGTCTCAAGCATTTCCAGCTGCCCCTCTCTTCCTGTACCCAGCCGCACACTAGTGAGGACCGCCAGCCTCAACAGTCCTCTGATCCACTTCCCTTCACCAGAAGCTCTCCTTGTCTCCTCATCCAGCATTTCTCACCACGTGGATCTTTCTTTTCTTTTTTTGCCAGTCCTGGAGCTCGAACTCAGGGTCTGGGCACTGTCCCTGAGCCTCTCTAGGCTCAAGGCTAGCACTCTACCATTTGAGCCACAGTGCCACTTGCAGCTTTTTCTGTGTATATGGTACAGAGGAATCGAACCCAGGGCTTCATGCATGCTAGGCAAGCACTCTACCACTAAACCACATTCTCAGCCCGTCACAAGGATCTTGAGCCAAGGGTGCCCAGTAGAGGCCATCAAAGCTCTCCACCCAACTCTAACAGAGGGTCAGAAAGAAGTGCGAGCAGCCGGAGTGGGGGGAGGGGAGGGGAGGACAACCAAACCCCGCCCACCGCGTGGGCACCGCCCCCAACCCTCCAGACCCTGAGGAGGGGCTGGTGGGTGGGGCGCAGCTTGGTCAGCTGAGTGACAGTCACGGGACCCGCCAGCAACTCCGTCGTCTTCCTGGAAGAAAGTGGGTGATGAACTGGGGTCTCTTGGGGTGGCAGTCCGGCGGGAGCGGGGCTCTCCTGGCCGGTCCCAGGGGATCTGTGGCGTGGAAAGCCCAGCGCAGACATGGGGTGGAAGGCTAAAAGGGGGTGGGGGGGTGAAGGGGTCAGGCAGCTGCGGAGCCCAATGGAGCCCGCAGAGGAAACCGGGGTCCTAGGGCGATGAGGAAGTCCCGGTAGGGAGCCCCGCATGTCCCCCGCCTGCCCGCCCCCAGGACATGGAGAGCGAGCGGGAGACGCTGCAGGTGTGGAAGGAGCGCGTGGAGCAGGAGCTGGACCGCGTGGTAGCTTTCTGGGTGGAGCATTCCCACGACCAGGAGCACGGGTGAGCTGCCCCGCCAGCGGCTCTGCCCCTCGCCCAAACCCCTGCTTCCCTCGGGAGACTCTTCGATCTGCTGGGGGGGGGGCAGGGGAGCCAGGGAGCTTGTGGGGAGGGGTGCAAAGTCCCTCCCCGCTTTGCCTCGCCCCGGATGTCCCACAGGGGCTTCTTCACGTGCCTTGGCCACGACGGGAAGGTATTTGACGACCTCAAATATGTCTGGCTGCAAGCGAGGCAGGTGGGTAGCAGTGTCCTTGCAGCCTCCGTGCGGCACTCGCCGCGGCCTGTCACTGCCACGCTGTGCTCCCCCGCCCCCATACACACACTCCTTCCCCGCGGTGACCCCTCTGCCCCGCCGCAGGTGTGGATGTATTGTCGCTTGTACCGCCATTTCCAGCGCTTCCACCAATCTCAACTTCTGGACTCAGCAAAAGCAGGTGTTGCCTCCTCTCCCGCGTCCTCCCCCGCAAGGGCCTCACCCCTGTTCACTCAATAGAGCTCCCTCAAAGTGCCTAATTCTTGGGGGGCGGTGTTCCTTGGGAAGTGCCATGGCCTAGGGATGAGGCGGGTCTTCAGGAGTCCTGGCCAATGCCCGCTCCCCCACCACCAGGGGGCGAGTTTCTGCTGCGTTGTGCGCGTGTGGCCCCTCCTGGCAAGAAATGCGCGTTTGTCCTCACTCGGGACGGCCGCCCAGGCAAGGTGCAGCGGACCATCTTCAGCGAGTGCTTTTACACCATGGCCATGAACGAGCTGTGGAGGGTCACAGGGGAAGTGCGGTACCAGGTGAGTGGGAAGAGGCTGCTGGCTCTTAGAGCCGCACCTTTAAAGCATGTCCTGCGTGGGCCGCTGTTGGCTCATGCCTGTAGTCCTGGCTATTCGGGAGGCTGAGATCTGAGGATTGCAATGCCAAGCCAGCCTTGTTGGGAAAGTCCATGTGTCTTATCTCCAATGAACTACTCAGAAAAGTCTAGAAGTGGTGCTATGGCTCTACGTGGTAGAGCACGAGCCTTGACTCAAAGAGGCTCCAGGGCAGCCCCCAGACCAGAGTTCAAACCCCAGGACGGGCACACACAAAACAGACATGTCCTGGGCTGGGAATGTGGCTTAGTGGTAGAGTGCTTGCCTAGCATGCATGAAGCTCTGGGTTCCATTCCTCTCAGTACCACATATACAGAAAAAGCCAGAAGTGGTGCTGTGGCTCAAGTGTTAGAGCTCTAGCCTTGAGCAAAACAAGTTTAAGGCACAGTGCCCAGGTCCTGATTTCAAGCCCCAGGATTGACTGGCAAAAAAAAAAGGACATGTCCTGAGACCCTGCCATGGCTGCACCATCTCTGGGCTGGAGCCCCCCCCCCCCACATGCCTCCATATTGTACAATATGGCCCCTCTTTCCCCTAGAAGTCTCCTTCAAGCACCTTGACCTGCAGGGTTCCAGCAGTGCCTTGTGCCTAGCTGGAGGGATCCTCTGCCTCCTTCATGGGTCACCTGTGCTGCTAGACCCTGGCCCCCAGCACTGAATACACCTCAAGGCCCGCCCTGGAGTTATATTCCTGGTGCCCTGGAAGTTACTGGGGACCTCAGCCTTCCCACCGCAGGATCGTGGGGGGCGAGGGACCCAGCCTCACCTGGGGCCCCTCTCTGCAGAATGAGGCAGTAGGCATGATGGATGAAATCGTCCACTGGGTGCGGGAGGACCCCTCTGGGCTGGGCCAGCCCCAGCTCTCAGGGGCCCCCGCCGCGGAGCCCATGGCGGTGCCCATGATGCTGCTCCACCTGGTGCAGCAGCTCAGTGAGGACAATGCCGAGCTGGCAGGCAAATATGCTGAGCTGGAGGACTGGTGTGCCCACAGGATTCTGCAGCACGTCCAGGTGAAGCACCCCCCCCCTCTTCCCACCCCCTTCCCAGCTCTCCAGCAGTGCGCTCTGGGAGAGCCTGGAAGTGCCTCTTGGGGAAGGTGGGTGGGGCCGAGCATTGGAGGGACCTGGTGGTGGGTAGATCCTGCCGCCAGGAGATGGAGACCTCATCCCTATCCCACTCAGGCCTCCATGGGCTTCCCAGTTTGCCTCGCCTGCCCTTCCCCTTGAGCCTGCCCTTCCCCTCGAGAGGGCCAGTCCTGGAGCAAGGACTAGAGGCTGTTAGGCCCATGGGAATGAACCAAAATGCCATTCTGTGCTGCCAAGTGGGCGGGTAGAGAGGAAGGAGTGGATTTTTTTAGGCTGATCTTTTTAGCTGTCAAGCTAGGGCCCAGAAACAGAGCTGTCTTCTGCTCTTCCCTGGCAGAGGGATGGACAGGTTGTGTTGGAGAATGTGTCAGTGGATGGCAAGGAACTTCCTGGTTGCCTAGGAAGACACCAGAACCCAGGTGAGGGGGCAGAGTGTGTTGGGCTTGTCCTGCAGAAAGAGAGCCTCAGCCTTGCACTTGAGTAGGCAGAAAGCCAGAGCGGGTGGCTCATGTGTATAATCCTAGCTGCTCAGGAGGCTGCAATCTGAGGATTTTGATTTAAACCCAGCCCCAGCAGGAAAGTCCTTGAGACTCTTAATTCCAAAATATAGCCAGAAGTAGAGCTGTGACTCAAGTGCCAGCCTTCAGCAAAAGAAATTAAGGGATAGCTCCCAGGCCCTGAGTTCAAGTCCCAGTACTGGCAGGCACACACAAAAAGGCATATGCAAGGCAGGCGCTGGTGGCTCACGCCTGTCATCCTAGCTATTCAGGAGGTTGAGATCTGAGGATCATGGTTCAGAGCCAGCCTGGGCAAGAAAGTCTTCAATGAACCACCAGATAGATATCCAGAAGTGGTGCTGTGGCTCAAGTGGTAGAGCACTCGCCTTGAGCTGAAAAGCTAAGAGACAGCATCAAGGCCCAGAGTTCAAGCCCCTCGACTTCCCGGGGGGAGGGGGGAGCGGGGGGGGGAGGCAGGGGAAAGACTTAGAGGATAGACAGGCTTGCCAAGTCTGAGGAGTGGCCCAGGTAGGACTGAAAGGGTGAAAACGGGATTGACCCATGGGGGAGGGGAGTTCAGCACTATTCTTCCCATTAGGGAGGGAGGAAAGGAGGGAGAAGGGCTTGAATGCCCCAAGCCTGGGGGTCAAATCCCTTCCTCCCTTACGCTGACTTCTCTTCAGGCCATGCATTAGAAGCGGGCTGGTTCCTGCTACGTTATGCCAGCCGGAAAGAGGATCCCAAACTTCGAGCCCATATCATTGACAAGTTCCTCCTGCTGCCCTTTCACTCGGGATGGGACGAGGAGTACGGAGGCCTCTTCTACTTCAAGGACGCTGACGGTCTCTGCCCTACCCAGGTGAGAGAGCCCAGGGCCTCAGATGGCTGGCCTGGCCCTAAGGCTTTCTGCCCAGTCATCAGCCTGCTCTAACAGAAGCAGAAACTGGGGCTGGATTGGAACCTAGTTCTCAAAACTTAACCCAGCCGAGTGCCAGTGGCTCACGCTACTCAGGAGGCTGAAATCTGAGGATCAAGGTTTGAAGCCACCCTGGGCAGGAAAGCCCATGAGACTCTTATCTCCAATAAACCACCAGAAAATTGGAAGTGGCACTGTGGCTCAAGTGGTAGGGCACTAACCTTGAGCTAAAGAGCTGAGGGACAGTGCCCAGGCCCAGAGTTCAAGCCCCATTAAACCTATGTCATGGGGCTGGGAAGGTGGCTCAGTGGTAGAGTGCTTGCCTTGCATGCATAAGGCCCTGGGTTCGATTCCTCAGTACCACATAAGCAAAAAGAAAAAAAAAGCCGGAAGTGGCGCTGTGGCTTGAGTGGTAGAGTGCTAGCCTTGAGCTGAAGAGCTGAGGGACAGCGCCCAGGCCCAGAGTTCAGGCCCCATGACCGGACCCC